TTTTCGGAAAATATTTTCCAATAACTGTTAGCTTCCATTGGCCATCCCTCCGTATTAGATCCTTAACTCTTAGCTAGGAGTGTGTGACAGTGATTGAAGTTGGTTGTATTGGATCAGAGTGATTAGGGATCCAACCATCACCAATCTTTATAGTTCTCTCAGAAACCACTTTCCATTTGACATTGTTCCTGAGTAGTTCAGCACCCCAGAGCACTCCTCTTTATCCCTAAGTTGTATTAGAAGGAGGTTTGATGGCTAGAAACACGCCATTGTTACAATATTTTGCCCTATATACTTTAGAAAGTAATGATACTAGGGATGAAAAAACTTTCAGGCATGCTTTGCTGGTGGGGTGTCAAGCCAACAAACAATTTAACCTACTTTCAAACTAGTAGCATAGGAAAGCAAGGTCGTCTCCTCAGGGAATGGTGGATTCGTTTCTTTCAAATAAGTAACCAAAATGGGGGTTTTGAGTTTTTAAAACTAAAATGTAGTTAAAATAAAATTCAAATGATAGTTAAAAAAAACTGAAAGCAAATTATGAGAAAGTTTCTAGTCAAAAGATTTTATATCCACCTTGGTCTAAACAATTGATCATAGATGCAATGATATGCTCAATCACTTATAGGCAAATTAGTTTTCGTTGTTGGAACCTCCTAACAACTCAATCTTAAACTAAGTTTAGTGATTAAGAAACCTTCATTAAACACACTAGTCCAAATTCAATCCTGGAACCTCCTAAGATTAAGAAAATGACTGCAATAAGTACAAAGACCCAATTCTGATTCCTATGAAACAAACCTTGTTTAGTAAAAAACCAGATTACTTGTTCTTATAACATAACAAAATCACTTACCAAATAATTAAATTATATTATACTCTAATTAAACAACAAACCTTGTTGTCTTATTGGTTTTAGATTATTAAGAAGTATCGAATGCTACCAGCTATTCATGAATTCACAATAATTATATCAATCATGTAATAGAACAAGCAAATACTCACGAGAAATTGAGAGAGAAACAACATTTAGATCTCACAAATATTCAAACCAAGGCTTCAATATCTTTCAACTAGAAAAATAATTTAACTACACATAATAAAGTCTTACAAAAACAAAACTATGGAGAATGGGAAGAATAACGCCCAAAAGGGCTAGATAGGCGGCTTAGGACCACTCCAGCCTCCTCTTCTTCTTCTCACGTTCAGCCCCCCCCCCCCTCCAAAAGAAAAGAATAAAATCAATTTATATGGGAACAAGTAGGTCAGCCGCAGCAGCCCTTCAGAAATCCGCAGCAGCAAATTAACTTTTCCAATATTTGCAAATTGGTCCCTTAAGTTTGGTAAAATTATATTTTGACCCAAACCTTTTTTTATTTTAGTCCCTGTTTCGGTTTGGCCAAATGGGAATGCAGCATCAATGCTGGAATTTCTTCTTTAAAGCTCAATTTTGGACTGAGATTCATGTGCCCACACGAGAATGTGATGTCATTGCTCCCTTTTTGTGATTTCTTGTCAAAATGCTCCAAAAATGTGTGTTTATGGAACATTTTTCTCCATCTCAGCTCCAATCACTCCTAAGAACCAAAAATATCAAAATACACAACATAAATGCACAATCTAATCCAAAATACTATACAAATACCCATAAATAACATGAAACTTCAAGACCTATCATTTGCTAATAAGGCTTGATTGAATTCCTTCAAGGATTTTAGGCCACGACCACCATAGAATTGTGACTTACTCATTTTCCTTCACGATTTCTAGTGGATGCTTTTGCCTGAACAGTCACCTTTCTAGTAAATCTTGTCATAATTGCTTCAGCTTTTTGGATTATATCAATAGGAAGTTGAAAGACCCTCATCGGATAAACCAACATTGATGCCAGGGATGATTTGGCAAGTGTGATCCTCCCACTCAGCGTAAGAAGTTTAGTTTTCCACCCAACAAATTTATTGGATAACTTGGATATATACGAAGTCTTGGAAAATCAATGTCTTTTTTTCCTTGAAGTCCAGAGACATTTCCAAGTATTTACTTTGGAAAGCACCCTCTGGAATATTTAGGGTGAAGTGTACGAAGTCTTTCATTTGAGGAGAAATATTTGGACTTAGCAGGATTGAAGATTATTCATAATTAATCTTCTGTCCTGAGAAAGCTGCATATTCCTCAATGTAACCTGTAAGAGCTTGGATTGCATTCTCTTTGCATTCTATGAAGAATAAACTGTCATTAGTATACATCAAATGGGTTACCCTTGGTGCGTTAGGTTTGATAGTTACCAATCCTTTAAATAATTATCAATTAATTAATATTTTAGTCAAAAGCGAGTTTTGATTGAATGTGAAATCTAACTTATTGTAATGTTCTCTTTGTTTGATCAGTGACAAAGAAATGCTAATAAAAATAAACTCGATCGGTTGGGAATCAAATTTTTGGCAGAATTGTTGAAATCAAACAATCAATATAAACGTATTGAACACCGGCAAATCCTTTAAGACCTTATATGTTAAAAGCAATAACTAGTTTTTTTGTTCAATTTTGTTTGATCAGCGACAAAGAAATACTAATCAAAATAGAATCGATCTATTACGAATTAAATATTTGGCAGAGTTGCTGAAATCAAACAATCAACATAAACGTATCGAGTATCGGCAAATCCTTCGAGACCTTATATGTTAAAAACACTAACTCATTTTTTTGTTTAATTTTGGTCTAGTATAATACATAACTAGAAGTTTGTTAGTTTAGTTGCTGACATTAACCCACTGTAAAATATACTTTTGTTAGTTTTCTTGATCAAAGTTTTTCATTATGTTGCGCTTTCATGTACAATTATTCATCTTGCAAAACTACATGTATTTTTTATTTTAGTATTACTATTCATCTAGAATGGTATCATTATTTATCAAGTTGCATCGTTATTCATCTTTGTCAATATCGTTATTCATTTCAAAATTTTTAAATTTTCCGATCCATAACTTTGTCACTATAAGAATAACATTATTCATCTACAATAGATTATTATTCTAGATAAACATACCATTATTCCTCCAAACAAAAATCGTTATCCATTAAAATCTTTCAAATTGGATGCTTAATTTTCTGGATTCCATTGCTAAAAAAAATATTTCAAAACAAACGTGTACTAAAAAATAGGTGCTTGTGTAATTGAAATTTAGGGGGAGAAAAAGAGTGTGTACATCATGAGGTACAACTTGCGAAGTACTTTTATTATTTATCCTCCCTTGACATGTATGGTCTTCATAGGCTACCGGCTTCAGATCTGCAGCAGTCTCAATTTGGGTTGGGTCCAGATCTACTGGTTGGGTTGGACCCAACATGTTCAATTTTTACTACAACCCAAACCCAACTCATATATTAAACAGGTCAGATTCCTGAATCTGAACCCAACCTTTTATTTTGTGGGTTACCCGGATTGGGACCTGTTTAACCCAAATATTTTTATCTTTTTTTTTGTTGGTACCCAATTAATTTTTTTTTCTAGTAAAATTATTAATTTTTTAAATAAAAATCTATTTTTCTCCACATTTCAAAATGCAACCCTAAGAAACACAACTAATTTTAGGCATGACCATAACCAAATCTATAAAATATCACACAAAATATCCTTAACGACAAACTTTTGATTAAATACAATCCAAATGAAAATATTCCATCATTCAAAAGCTAAAAATCACATGTTAAAAAAAACTTATAAAATATTCACTAAAATGACCAATATGCCTCTAGGAAACTAATAAAATTAAAAAATATAAATTAAAATAATGATCAATGAAGCCGTAGAACCTTTTTTGAACGGGTGGCAAGAGGTTTCGAGCGCCACGCGGGACGCGACACAAGTTGACACCCGATCCAACCTAGTAGTAAGCAATCCGCTAAAAGCAACCAAAATATTCCTTGGTGAATCGACGTAAGCGTGATTCTGAGTCTCGTGGTTGTGAGCGAGACCCAAGCAGGAGAAGCAAAGGTAGAAGGAGCAGAGAGGCAGCAGCACTTATTTCTCCGCAGTATTCATAGTCCAATCCATTACAGCCTGGCAGTCTAACACGCATAGATTACACTAAAACTTGCTTTCAGAAGTCAATTTGAAAAGTTCGAAGGAGCTCGACCATAAGAGAGAGGAATGAAAGGAAGTAGGCGAGCGAATTTGTTGATGTTGCACCCATGAAGTATGGAAAGTGCCAAACAATGGGAACTACCCTAACAGGTGAGATAAAGCAACCAAGGAAAGTCTCACATCAAGGCATGTCACAGCAGGGTCTACACTACTCCTGTAAACATGAGTAGTGCAAAAGTGGATGCTATCGGTAACAGCCCCAGCGCGAAGAAGTTAAGTGCAAAGCTAGGGTTCAATCCCTAAGCGCCAATCAATGTGTGATGTCTGAGCCGGTCACCAAGAACAAGGCGATCGCACCTAAGAAGAAAATATAGATTAGTAGGCCAATTGGAGCACTGCTTCAACAAACGTAAAATACTTTATTTCAGATTTCAGAGACTTGGGATCTCAGCAGGAAATGCGAAGGAAGGAACGAAGTGAAGTTATTAGATTAGATAAGCCGGCCAATAGGCGAAAGAGAATCCACTAGTTTAGTTCTAATCTGAGTAGGCTCATAATAGGGAATACCAGCCCCTTCCACAAGGAGAGATTGTTGTTCTTGAAGGAGGGCCTCCTTCCGGCGCACAAGTCAATTATAACTTCTGAAATTTTTGCACCTGGTTCGCCAAAGGGGTGCGTTCTTGGCGGCAATAGCGCCATCAATGCTGGTTTTTACAGCCGGGCTGATGGGGAATTTTACGAAGAAACTTGTTTAAATGCGTAACTCGTCTGTCTACCCGACCCAACTCGTTCAATAAATATGTTAGATCCGACCCAACCCATTTATTATGTGGGTTGAAAATCTCAACCCAACCTTGCTAATTTCGTGTTGGGTCGGGTCCAAGCCCAATTTGACACCCTTACTTAATATAGAAGCTCCTAATCTCCTATATAAAATACTTTTTGCCTTCAGATCTTCATCTTCTTCACCGGATCTGCTGAAAAACCTATATCTAGAAGCATAAAATTAAAAAAACCTCCATGAAGGAGGACTTCCAGATCGGAAGAAGATAAACAACCAAAAAGGGTGGGCAGAAACTCCTATACAGAGGAGACTAGCAAGGAGATAAAACAAGAAAACTAAAAATTTGGACCTCCACTGGTGGATGAGGGAAAAGAAAGTTTTTTTTTTTTTGGTGTAGAAACGGGTGCAGAGAAGGCAGAGAGAAAGGGAACGGATTCAGAGCTGACTTATTTAGTCATATTCTGTTTTCTCCGTTAACCGCCCACCATCTCACACATCCGCCTTGCGCATCGGCGTCTACTTCCGTACTTGTCGGCGTCATTGATTCGAAGTATCGCTCTGCTATTCATCGACTCGGTCCGGGCCTCCGATTCCGTTAGACGGCGGCGGTAGATCTCAGTACGACGTTACATTGACCAGATCCGGGCGTGCTGACTCCTGTTCAGTCGAATCCGAGTCCCAAGGTGAGTTGCATCATAGTAAAATCTTTTCCTTCTCCTGCCTCGTGTTTGTCCCCTGTAACTATCTGCCTATTGCTTCTCCATTGTGTTTTTCTCCCAAAAGGAGGAACTTTTATGTGGGATTGTTTTTACAAGCATTTTGTTGGTCACAAATTAGTTTATTTATGCTCCGTATTTAGAGATTTTCGAATTATCCTTAGTTGTTATGGGCTTAGAAATATCAAAAGTCCTCACTTTCCCCTTGTTTACGCTCTTGTTTGGATATCCTCGACATCAATCAGTTCTGATGATTTCGAGAATCTTCAACCAGGAACTGAAGAAGCAAAATATTAACTCTTTATTTGGAGAGCATAATCTAGTATCGGGGAGGGGATCAGTTTTAACCTTTTTACTTTTACAATTATTGAGCGGGAGTCCCAGTTTAACTAAAACGTTTGTCACTGGTGAATGCCAGAGTAGTAGACTATTTAAAAGGAGGGAGGGATGGAATAATATTCTGGTGGCCTTTATCCTCTCTTGATATAATGCCTTTGTAACTTTCAGAATTCAAGTTCTCATTTTTTGTTTGTCTACCCTGAATTATATGGAGTTTTGTTGGGAAGAGAAGTGTTTCAATTATGAACATCGTTCATAGATGATGTTAATCTCCTTTTTTTGATATATCCGTGCATTTCTCCTCGTTTGAGTATGCTGTGGTGGATTTTGGTTAGCCGAGCTGCAGATTTTCTGTCCTACTATTTATGTAGCAAACTGGGCAGATGTTACTTGGATTATAAAGCTGCAGAAATGTCTGTCACTATTTGCGCTCCTGGTTTTCAATCCTTCGTGCTTTATCTGCATTGCATGGTCATGTGGTGATAAATGTGATTAAGTTCATGTAAATTACAGCTGCCAAGCGAGCCAGACTTTAGAGTACCGTAAGAATGTCCAGAAAAATTAGTTTAGACCCTCTTGAGGAGAATTTAGATTAATGATCTGGTGGCCTTTATCCTCTCTTGTTATAATGCCTTTGTAACTTTCAGACTTCCAGTTTTCATTTTCTTAAACAAAATTGGGTGGATGAGTCTGGTTTGGAATTGGGTATATCTACGGTCTACCTTCTTGCTTTATCTGCATTGCATGGTTATTTGGTGAAAAGTGTGATTAAGCTCATGTAAAATATCGCTTTCAAGCGAGTCAGACTTTAGAGTACCTTAAGAATGTCTAGGATAGTTTTGGCCCTTTTGATGAGAATCTAGATTAATATTCTGTTGGCCTTTATCCTCTTGTTATAATGCCTTTGTAACTTTATACTTCATGTTTTCAGTTTCTTCTACAAAATTGGGTGGAGGCATTAACACTTTTGTCTAATCAGATGTTAGAGAACAATGATATTTTGTCTGAGATTCTCCTCAGAGTTGATCCCGGATGTATTTTCAATTACATCCTTGTTTCTAAGCGATGGCTTGAATTGATAACGAGTCCATATTTCCAGCAAGTTTATCTGAAGAGATGGTATATAAAGGGCTGCCATCTTAAAGTCATAGGATTTCTGGTTTACAATCTTCCATATGTGGATAATAGTCGGCCTTATCCATCACCACCTGCTGTTCAATTGCTGCCTACGAGCAAATTTGGACGTGATATCAACCGAAGTAAATTCATGGGTCATGCTGGTTATTTCATTGCCGCCACATCTGATGGTTTCATTCTATCTGGTAAACATCCACAGAGGTACTATGTCTGCAATCCTATCACCAAGCAGCGCATGCAATTGCCTCAACCTCCAGTGCTTCATATGGATGTCGCTATAGCGATTTTATCATGTGACAAGGAGGAACGGGTTTTTGATACTCAGGAGAGAATGAAAAACTTTGAGGTTATGTATGCTGAATCCAATTTTTTTGATGAACCAGATGATAATACTGTGTCCATCCATACTTTTTCTTCATTGACAGGCCAATGGTATACATCCACACTTTCTTGCTCCACTCCTTTTTCCCTGTGCCGGGGAGTTGGCACGGTGGCTAGGGGTTTTGTGTATTGGATGGCCAGAGTAGGTTGTGTTCCCTATTTCGCGGCATTTGATACTAAAAGTATTAATGATACTGGACGCATCACTTTGATTATGAAACCATGGTCTACTATGGACTCCTGGTTTACCTCGCACAAAGAGCTTCCCAGTTATCTTGGTGTGTCTTCTGAAGGCTTTCTCCAGTATGCAGCAATTCACTATCGGGGTGAATTATGCATTTGGGTCCTTAGTGACGATAATTTTGAAGGTCAAACAGATTTTGATGCCCAAGGTACTCGGTGGAGAGTTTGCTACAAGATAGATATTTTTTCTATGATGATGGGAAATTCAGCAGTGTTATCCGCATGCCATATTGAAATTGGGCGGAGGACGCCGTTTGTATTTGTAGCATTTGTTCCGGGAAAGTCAGACTCTGTCTTTCTACGTTGTGAAGAATATTTCTTTATCTATCAGTATCTCAGCCAGAAGTTGGAAAGAATCCATTATGACCTCGATAATTATAGTTTTCCATTTGCGAGGCAGCGAGATCGGTGTCATGGCTTGTACCATCCATTCACAGTCTCGGGAGCTTGGCCTTCTTCCCCTTTGTAGCTTTAGAATAGTAATTATTGTCTCTGTATCATAGAATAAGCTTTAGAATAGTAATTATTGTCTAATGTATCATAGAATAAGCTTTAGAATAGTAATTATTGCCTCTGTATCATATAGAATAATTTGAATATAAATATCAAATTAGAATTACGAGTTTGGTGTAATCTAAAATTGAATATTATATAAATTCGTAAAGTCATAAAATTTAATTTAATTTTTCATATTAATTTTTAAATTTGTAAGATTAAGTCTAAATTTATATTTTAGTTTTTAAAATTGGATTATTTTTTTAGAATAGGTAATATTGATTTATTGCGTAATCTTAATGACGTTCAGTTTGTTGGAGGTAGTATGTTTGTTTTTATCAGAGTAATTACCAACTCATGATGTGTATATCCTTCATGTTATTGTGTTTGCTATATATGTTTTCATTGTATTGAATATGGTACAAAAGAGGCCATATATAGACCAATTACACCAAACTGATAAGAAGATAAAAGAAAGGAAAGAATTATCCCTATCTCTATATAAATGGAAAATAAAATTATCAGCGTGACTAATTTATTCGTAATACTCCTCCTCAAGTTGGAGCAACATGAAGATCAATGATGCCCAACTTAGATAGAAAGAAATGAAAACGATCGCGACCCAAAGTTTTAGTGAGAAAATCCGCAAGCTGATATTGCGAAGAGATGGGCCGAGGAACTGAAAGCTTGGATTGCAAGTGATGTCGTATGAAATGACAATCAATCTCGATGTACTTCGTGCGTTCATGAAAAACGAGATTGGAAGCAATGTGGATGGTGGCACGATTATCACAAAAAGAGGAATAGAACCCGGTTGAGAAACATCCAACTCAAGCAAAAGGCGATTGAGCCAAACCAATTCACTGGCGGTGGAAGTCATAGCTTGATATTCTGCCTCAACCGTCGAACGAGAAATGACAGATTGCTTTTTGGATCGCCTAGAAATAGGAGAAGAGCCCAAAAAGACAAGAAAGCCAATGGTGGATCGACGGGTAGTACTACATCCGGCCCAGTCGGCATCACTATATGCACGAAGGGACAAGTCTATGTTAGAGGGAAGCAAAATACCCTGACAAGGAGCGGTCTTTAAATAACATAAAACACGTAGATCAGCGTCATATTGCGGAACTCGTGGCTAATGCATAAACTGACTGAGAACATGAACATCATAACTAATATCAGGACGAGTAATTCTGAGATAAAGAAGACGACCCACTATCTGGCGATAACGTCCAGGATCTGAGAAAAGATCTCCAGAATCAAGAGCAAGCTTATGAGTTTGCTCCATTGGAGTAGTACAAGGCCGACAACCCAGAAGACCACACTCGTTGAGAATGTCCAAAGTGTACTTGTGCTAATTAAGGGCAATCCCAGCAGAAGATCTAGCAACCTCAATGCCAAGAAAGTATTTGAGAGGACCAAAGTCCTTGATATGAAATTGACGATGGAGGTGTTACTTGAGTTGAGCAATCTTGAGAGGATTGTTTCTTGCCACAATGATATCATCAACATAGATAAGAACTGCAACCAAAGATGAGCCATGTCTCCATAGGAACAAGGAAGAATCACAAGAAGACTCCTGAAAACCAGCAAGAGTAAGTGAGGATGTGAATTTATGGTACCAGTTACGAGAAGCCTAGCAAAGTCCATAAAGTGATTTATGCAATCGACAAACTCATTTCTCCCCCTGTTTAGAAAAACCCTGAGAAATTTTCATGTAAACTTCTTCCTCAAGATCACCATGTAAGAAGACATTAGTGACATCCAGTTGATGCAATTCCTAGCGACAAACAGAAACAACTGCGAGAAGGCAACGAACAGTGACCAGCTTAGCAACTGGGGTAAAAGTTTCATGGAAGTCAAAACCTTCAATTTGAGTAAATCCCTTGGCAACAAGACGAGCTTTGTAACGTTCAATGCTACCATCAGGATGGAATTTGACTTTGTAAACAGATTTAGAATCAATGGGGCGCTTCCCAGGTGGTAAGGGTACAATAGACCAAGTGTTATTAGCTTCTAAAGTAGAAATCTCTTTACTCATGGCATCCCTCCAATGTTGAGACTTAACTGCTTGAGAAAAAGAAATCGGCTCAACTAGTGAAGAGATGGCAGTTAAAGAGCAATATGATTAGAACTGAAGCGAGAATAACACAAAGTCTAAGATAAAGGGTGTACTGTCAAGGAATCTGAAGGAGGGGATGAGGATGATGGATTTTTGGGAAGCAAAGATGGCGAAAGATTAACATCATAATCAACAAGGCGCCGAGAAAGCTGTCGAGAACGGCGAGGAAGCGAAGGAGACGAAGCTGGTGATGATGAAGCTAGAGAAGATGATTCAGATAGAGGAGCCAGCTGAGGCGAACCAAGATCATTAGAATGAGGAAAAGTGGACATAATATTTTCAACAGCTTGATGAATATGCTCAGGATCAACAGAGAGAGGAATATCAACAGAGGGGGATGGTGTATGATATGGATAGTGATTTTCAAAGAAACGAACATCACGTGAAGTGTATATCACCCGCCTATCTAAATCAAAGATCCGATATCCCTTGTGACCATGAGGATACCCCACAAAAATACCAGGATGGCCTCGAGCATTATATTTATCTCGAGGTTTGCCAAGAACATGAGCATAACAAAGATAACCAAAGATATGCAAATAAGAATAATCAGGAGGGGTACCAAAGAGGACTTCATATGGTGTTGTCTTTTAAAACCGAAAGTGGCATGCGATTTATTAAATAAGCAGCAGTTAAAATACACTCGCCCTAAAAGGTGAGCGGCAAATGAGCCTGAAATCGCAATGCACGAGCGACTTCTAAAAGGTGTCTATGTTTGCGTTCAACCACGCCATGTTGCTGAGGGGTATAAACACAACTAGTTTGCTTATCAATGCCATGATCAAAAAAATTGGTCAACAAGTCAACATGAGAAAATTCTATACCATTATCCGAAAGAAATATCTTGATGACTTTATGAAATTGAGTAGACACCCAATTGAAAAATAGCAACAAATAACGTTTTGCCTCAGACTTATGCTTCATGAGAAAGACCCAAGTAGCACGACTAAAATCATCAACGATAAGAATAAAATGTGCTCCCGAATGAGATGGTGTATGATAGGGTCCCCAAATATCACAATGAACTAAATCAAAAGCACTCAATATAAATGGAAAATGTAATTATCAACGTGACTAATTTATTCGTAATACAATCCATTATATCTCTATTGCCTAATATACTCTTCTTAAACTAAATATCATCTCCTCGCCCCACACATTGTCCTTTCTCCTTCGTTTATCAATATCATGATTCATAAGTACTCAATCACATCAGATGGCTTCCTTCATAATTTCATCGGTCTGATCCCAAGATTTTATGCGTTGAAAATTAACATCTGCTTATGCTTAGCTAACCTTTTCTAGCATGTTGCTTTTGTTAATCCATCTCCAACACACGCAAGTTATACTTTTCTTTTTTGAAATAAAAACTATATTATATTACTTTAGTGAAAATCGTTCAGCAACGATTGATAATGAAAGATACAGTCAAAATAAAAACACAACTTACAATAAATTTAATATTATTGTTGTGTTTATCGTGGATGAAGCTAACTAGGTCTACCCAATATAATGCTTGATATATCACGTGCCAGATAATTAATATGATCAAGAATATATCTCTAATAATCTGATGAAAGCTCCAAATCATAGATCTATCAAATAAATCTATGATAACTGAATCTTCTTGAACCACGGAGTGTATAGCAACGAACGAAACTTCGGACATCGCATCAACAATACGAATACTGCAAGAAAAACCGTACCCTCTCAATAAATTATAATCAATCTACTGAAGGAAGTATAATTTGGGGGACAAATCCTACTTATTAAACGATAAAAAGAACTATAAAGAGGTGTAATTCTGATGATGATACCCTTGCTGAAATGCTGGAGAAGATCAAGGCAAAAGAGGTAGAGCCAAATGGAAATGCTAAATTCCACGACAGTGACTATGACCTGGATACAAAAGAGGAAGAAAATATCATTAAAGAAAGGGCAAAAGTTTGGGATGAGATTTTAAAGAAACCTGAGTTCAAACTACAACCTGTATTTTGTTGCATATGATGAAGAGTTAGAGAGTTCTGGTGAGTCCGAAGAACTTCTCAGTGGTGAAGAAACTGAGTGTGAATCTGATGGAACACGAAAATCATTGTTTAGAAGGTATGACAAAAATACAGATTATGATAACCCAAAGTGAGAAATTGGGATGAGTATTTCTACGAAAGTGGAGTTCGAAGAGTTGTGCAAGCATCAAGGTGTGAAGCTAGGGAAACAGATACGTTTCAAGAAGGATGATAAAGTCAGGTGCCACGCAGTGTGTAGAGGTACTAAACGTAACTGCAACTGGCATGTCATTATTTGTAACAGGCCAAAAAAGTGTTACTGGAATGTTTCGCGCCTTAACAGGAAACACATTTGTGGTGGTAGGGATCACAACCATGGGTGTGCTAGTTCAAAGTATCTTGCAAGGCTGTTCATGGAGGATATTCGTATATGTCCCTAGACAACGTTGACTCAATTGCAGGATAAAATTAATACGAAGATGACTATGTATGTTCACAAGGGCAAGGCAGAAAGAGTGAAGAATTTAGCAATTGAAATTATTGAAGATAATATTGTAAGTCAGTACAAAAGACTTTACGATTATAAAGCTGAGTTGCTGACAACAAACCCAGGCTCTACAATTGATTTGGATACAGAAGAGTTGCCAGATGGTACTGAAAAATTCAAAGGCATATATATACGCCTCGATGCATGTAAAAGGGGTCACAAAGAAGCCTGTAGGCCAATCGTTGGCCTTGATGGATGCCACTTGAAGGGATCTACCAAGGGCATTTTACTGACTTCAATTGGCATTGACCCAAATGACCAGACATACCCTATTGCATATGTGGTGATGACCAAGAACACATACACCTGGACTTGGTTTGTCAGGAACCTCCAAATTGATTTGGACATCAAGGATCCAAGCAAATGGACGATTATTAGTGACAAGCAAAAGGTGTGTTTTTCAATTATTTTTGTAAGGGTTTTAGGTTTAGGACCTGTGTATTGTTTGTATGCATTTGCTAATGTACTGTTTTAAGTTTTAGGTTTACTAATCATTTGCGTTGTTGTAGGGATTGATTAAGGCAGTTAAAACATGTCTTCTCGGTGCTGAGCACAGAATGTGTGTGTGGCATATGCAAAACAATTTCAAAACGGCATTTGGAAGCCCAGCGTTGAACGACTCATTGTGGGTTGTAGCTAGAGCAACTTATCCTACAAGGTACAAGTCCATCATCATTGAGCAATTGAGAGTTCTAGAACCCCCAGGCTATCGATTGGTTGAGGAGCAACACAAACCCTAAGAACTGGACAAGGTCACATTTCAAGTATCATGCAAAGTGTGATGTTTTGGTGAACAATATATCTGAATGCATAAACAAGGTATTGCTTCCTGCAAAGGAAAAGGCCTTATTGGCCTTGCTAAAATGGATCTTTTTGTATCTTATGGAGAGACACCGTCAGAAAAGGGAAGCTGCTGCTAAATTTTTTGATATTGTCGGCCCAAAAATAAGGAAGAAGCTGGAAAAAATAAAGGAGATAACAGGTGAGTATTGGGCAGTGGATGCTGGAGAATGGAATTATCGAGTAAGCACTAAGAGTGGTGAACATTTCACAGTAGATCTAAGGGCTATAACTTGCTCGGGCAGAAGGTGGATGTTGACAGGCATACCTTGCAGCAATCAGTCAGACTAAGGAGCCCGTTGAAGCTTATGTGCACAATTATTACTCGAAGGCAGCTTATGAAACTGCTTGCAAGTACGTCATTTATCCCACAAATGGTGAAGAAAAGTGGAAAAAGACAAAGAAACTAGATATTATGCCTCCTGACAAAATTGTTCTAGCTGGACGACCTCCAAAGTCTACAAAGAAGACTAAGGAAGAGCTTAGGGAAATACGTGTAAAGAAAAAAGGTGATATTGAGGTTCTGTCTCGGACTGGCACAATGACCTACAAGTGTTCAGAATGATACCTTGATGGACATAACAAGAGGTACTGTACTGGTGGAGCTGTTCCATCTGAGCAGTCTAAGAAGAGGAAGATACCCAATACCAAGGGCCAGCCTAAAAAGTCAAAATCCTTAACTATTTTGGTCCTATGTGAGAAACATTTTTTGTACACTAAATTTCATAACAAAGTAGGAATATCGACTTCGTCGAACCATTTTGTTCAGATTTGTGGCGAAATACAAAATTTTACACACAAATGCAACAAAAGATAAAGGATTACACCTTTGAAGCCATTATTAAAGAGAATTCGAAGTACACAAGATATCAATCCTTGGCTTCCTTGCAAACTAATGCATAGGCTAAGGCCCTAATCAACTTTTGCGGGTTAGGAATCTCACAATAATATTCAGATTCTGATGATTCACACTCACACTCTCCCAAAACTCCATGGACGTCATTTTCATCTTCACTGTCATCAGGGTCACCATGCGTGAATGAATCATTTCTAGCAAAACAGCGCTCTTCATCTTCGTCTAGCGCATAAACTACAACTAATCTATTACCAGCCAAAGCGTCAACACACATGAGGGAAAATGCTCGATCTTCCACTATCTTATCCACTCCATTAACCTCGCTAATAGAGTAGAATGAAACAGATCTAACAAGCCCAATCTTCCGTGCCATCTCATTTAATTGACGAATTGAAATGGTTTCAAGATCTACATTATCAAACATCCTAAATTCACCGTCATGATAAACTGGATAGGGCTTTCATACAGAAGCCCACCATAGTACATTTGAATGCTTCCAAAACTGCTACTGCTAACTGGTCAACACAACAGAAAAAAAAAAAAAAAAAAAAAAAAAAGAGACATACTATTAATGCATAACAAGATGCTAGATGGAGTACACTAGTAGTCATATTTACAATATACAGGAAGGAAGTCATCATTATAATCTTTTGGCCGTGGACTGTACATCCCGAAAGGCAGATTTGGGAAAGCTATTGCAGCAAACCTTATGTTATTTATTTGGCAGATCTGGGAATGCACCTTCACTTATTGACCTTATCTTACCATTTGTACCCATCAAGAGTGGGACCCAAATGTTCTTTATGTTACCATCAAGTGTGGGACCCAGATTTGCTACGGTTTGCATTGACTAAACAGAATTTGACATTTGACATCATAGCGTGGGACGAAAAAAGTTTTTGACACGATTGTAAGGGACGAAAAAAAGTTTCAACAGAAAGTAAGTGACGAAAAAAGTTGTAGAAATTACTCATTCAGTTCCAAACTTGTACAACCAAACACAAATCAATTTTGCCTCACAGATCGACATTCTACTACAATACATTCTGATCGACATGGAGAAGCAAAATGCACCCCAAAATACATCAACCCCTAATCGCTAAAACCAAAAGAAGGAGTAGAATACACAACAAACAGTTAACATGAAAAGATACAAGAAATTTATTTGCCCATTTGCAGTTACACTTGCAAATGGGATTGCGTCCCTCACGGCCGCGACATCGCGATCATCATCATCAACAATTTCATTATTTGTATCCACCCGCCCAACGCCTTCTTCTAAAATCATTTCACCCGATCCCAACATCCTCTCCGATCGGGACGACCCAGGTTACGAAACCGTGATATTGGCAACAAAGATAAAGCTGCCCTGGATTTTTTCTACTATTTGATAGCTCAAATGTGCATGTCGACCTCTATTCATTGCAGATCTATCTATCGAACCGATAATGAAACCAATTATTGCCGTTGTTGCTACTGCTGGAGGCGGCCATGGCTAGATCTGAGTTGGTTAGAAGGAGGAGAAGAAGCGTTGATGGTGGAAGAGAAAGACGGATGTGTTGACAGGGGAAGAGAAAGGGTCAACGGCCGTTCTGTTTTGAGGTTTCATCTATCCCCTTTTTACTAAAGGAAAAAAATTATTATTTTAATTTTAGGGTTCACTGTAGCATCGTGGGTAAGAAGGTAAATGGAGCCCTTTTTTTATAAATTTTTTTGAATTTTGAAAAAGTTTAATATTTTATTATTTTTACTGTTCACTGTGGCAAAAATTAAAAAATTTATTTACTGCGGCCCCACTCAGTTAAAAGTGATGAAAATTTTATTTTTGATTTTTTAGATTTTTTGGAATTTATAAATTTTTTGATTATTTTTATTATTATTTAATTATTATTTTATTCATTAAATACTGGAAATACAAAAGACGAGCAAAAAGACGATAATACCTTCCATTTTCACGGTCAAATGGACGGAAAGTTAAGTTGGAACGTAAATAGTTTAAAAATGGTTTTTTTTGGACGAAATGGAACGTAAATTAGCATTTTCAAATACAAGGGACGAAAATGATTATTCGACCAAATGTACGGCACATTTTATGCTTTTTAGTCTTTATACATATAACCCCACCTTCCAAGGCTCTCCAACACATATAGGTTAGGCCGCATTATATGTAGATTCTTTATGCTTTTTAGTCTTTATACATATAACCCCACCTTCCAAGGCTCTCCAACACATATAGGTTAGGCCGCATTATGTAGATTCTACCAGAGACGCAGATATCCTGGACAAACCGATTGATCAAACCTCATTTGTCAATGCATGTTTTTTTTCCAGAAAGAAAGAAATTGTCAACAAGCCATCTTGGATTAACAGATTCGCAGCAAAGAAAGAATTTGTCAAGAAGCCATCTTGGATTAACAGACTAACAGCAAAGAAAGAATTTGTCAACAAGCCACCTTAGATAACAGATTAGCAGCAGTGCAATTCACCATGTAGTCTATTCTAAGTTCTAACCAGGTGAAGAGGGAACAAATAAACTAACGGCCAAAATGAACTCAAAACATCTCTCCATAACCTTTAAACTTAACTTTAACCAAGTTCATATATAAATAACACCAAGTAGCAGAATTACCTTAATTTACAAGAAAATGAACTTTATTGACGTTCGATAACATCCTTTGAACACCAATAAAGTTCTTCTTTCCAATTTATGAATTTGTTCCCAAACTAATTAACATGAATCAGCCCCTGTGGCTCTACGAAGTTTTGCAAGTGCAACGGCAGCTTGAGCACCAATCGCTGCATTATTCTTTACAAGTGCAATATTGGCAAACAGAGAGGCGCCTCCAGTAAGCTCATTGACTCTAGCAAGCAAGAAAGGAGTTTCAGCACTTCCAGTTACTCGCCGCTCCCTTGCTTCTTGAATAGCTTGCTGTATCGCTGACTCGATCATGTTTCCCGAAGCTGAGTGCTTTTGTGGAATAGGAACCGCAATAAGTATTCCTGACTGGAGATTCAGTTTCAAGTTCCCATCGATTAGTCGAGCGCAATCTTCTGGGGTATCAATTCGACAAGGAGCCTTACAACCACTAATTGGAGTGAAAAAGGCAGGAAATTCGTCTGTCTTGTATGCTGCAACACAAACTCCTTGAGTTTCCAGATACTCAAGGGTTCTTGGGATATCTAAAATCGATTTGACACCAGCAGATACTACAGCTACTGGAGTCCTTCCAAGCTCAGTGAGATCCGAAGAAACATCCATTGTATTTTCTCCATGCCTGTGGACTCCTCCAATGCCCCCAGTGACAAAAATTGGAATCCCAACCATTGAAGCAAAAACCATCGTTGCAGAAACTGTGGTTGCACCATTACCCCGGGTAGCAACCACATGAGCAATATCCCGCCGAGCTGTCTTACGGACTTTTGGTCCCAGCTTGGCGAGCCTCTCGAGTTGTTGTGAATCCAATCCAATGAATGGGATGCCATCCAGAATTGCAACTGTTGCAGGCACGGCACCATGATGCCGCACAATAGCTTCCACAGCTTTTGCAACCTCCAAATTTTCAGGATAAGGCATTCCATGAGAAATTATAGTGGACTCGAGAGCAACAACAGCTCCCCCACAGGATAAAGCCTCAGAAACTTCATTTGACATTCTAATAAGTCCAGTGATACCATCCTTGGGAACAAAGGTTTTGGCAGGATTCAAATGATTGTTGAGGTTAGTTAGTCGAGCCAAAGCCATGACCTGGAAGAAGATATGACATAAATAAATCTAACATTGGAGGAAGGGAAGGGGTCTTTGATTTCACAGTGAAAAAAATGAAGATAAAAAATCATCAATACACCGAAAATAAACACATCCAAACAGTGAGGAAAGAATTGGTTCGCTTGCCACCCAAATATTCCAAATTAGGGCTCAGAAAGAAGTGAAAGAGATAGGGAAATCAGATCACTTACTATACAGCTCTCTTGACGAATGAGCGGCAACGGCAGACCTACTCCGGCCCAATACAAATTCGTTCTCGTCTGACACCGGACGCCGGATTCTAGCTGTATTTATGAGAAGAGGCAGACGGCGGCAGGATTTTCCCAGGCGGAGTTGAACTCGGGCGCCGATTGCGTTTCCGTCATTTCAAAGCCGCTTTTGAAGAAAAATCCACAGCAACGAAGAAGAAGACTCCCTGTACTTTGGGCTCGGTTTTTCAATTTTTACAGCCCAAAATGAATTGATACAGCTTGGGCTTTTAAGAAACAAAATATGCTTACAAGAAACTGGGCCTGAACTCCACTTTTGAATAGCAAACCAGCGTCATCACCTAATCCGTAAATGACAAGTCCATTTCTTTTAAAAACCCAAGTCGCCTTAAATGTATGTTTAATTACTTGATATGCATTCAAAACGAGCAAAGTCATTATAAGTAGTCACATATAATTTTATTTCCATTTTTTTCCCCCCCAAAAAAAAAGATAATAATTCTTATTTTCCACAGCTTTCAAGTCATTATCAATAATGCACAGAAGAGAAACATAGAATTCCTCGTGTCCGTGGAGCCAAATGGAGCCTTAATTAAGAAAACGATCTAATCCTTTATAAGGAAAGCTTCATGAACAGAATTGACCAGAGTTTAAAAATGTCCGGAAGAAAAGTATGCAATAATTAGTTGAATCGAACAAAATCTGCAGTGGTTAGTGGATTAAAATCTCACAGAGAAATTTGGGGAAATCATTAAAGTCTATACGCGCTGTTGTTGACCAGGTTCAACAACAAATAATCTTTTGTTTTGTACGTAGTTTGTTGATAGCTGGAGAATATTCAACATAGGCAGATGAAGATATGGACGTTTCTCCCGACGGCGTGACATGAAATGTGTATTCTTCTGTTTTTATTTCCACCCCCTCGTATTTGATTAATATCAGCGCTAAGATAGAGTTGGTTTGAGATCACATTTTATGATCAAGTCCTTTGATCTTCTGAATGCTCACTAGTTTAATCATGATTGATGAATTGAATTATGCAGACCGCCGATCATGAGTTTGTCGACTAGATGGAAACTATAAATAGAAAATTGGAGTGGCTTTGCGCACTCCAACAGAGACATCTACAGACAAAAGCCATTAATTTAGCCACATTTACTATCATTAGTTAGCTTAAGACTTAAGTAGCTTACTAGTACTACTATATATGATGTTGAGCAAAATTGCCGTTTATGTATTTCTTCCGTCAACAAAAAAAAAAAAAAAAAAAACTATTTTATAAACTAAAACAATACAATAAAATAGATTAATTTTTTGAAACGAAAGAGTACTGCATACTTCTTCTGATACTTTGTTATTTCCTTGTACCATGTAACATGGTATCTATATCTAAACTCTAAAAGTGTCTATGTTTATAAAAGAAGGCTTCTAATAGCTCCCGTGATTCTCTAATCTATAAATTTATCTACGGACTGCACATCTAGGAGTTGCCTTTTAACATACGTACTTTATAGCTTCTTTTGAGATTACTGGTTTTCAGATGGCCTTCTTGTTTCCTTTTCTTTCTTTTCTTTAGGAATGGATGCTTCAATTCGTGATTGCAGAAGAGCATCCGCACTTTAGAGATGTTACGAACTTGGACTTTAATTACGTTATCCAAATCACAGTTGATTTTGCGTCGCATTTATACGATATTTTATTAAACTGGTAGGGTAACCCAAAATGCAGGGTTGTCTCATGGAGATCAAGTTGTTCTTAAAAAACAAGTAACGAATAAGTAAAAGAGTAAAGTGAAATCTCAAAATCGACTTGAGCTACGTACTTAAATTTACAAATTGTTATGTGTTCTGATGCTTTTAAAATAAATATTTCGTTTGTTTTAAAGTGATGGTCTTGTTATATTGTTCTAAATTGATACATATCCAATCTTGTATCTTTTCCAAAGTCCAAAACCAGTTAGAAAAAAAAAAAAGAGGATAGGAATATAAAGCGAGCATATGGCAGTAATGGCAAAATGCGGGCATGTCAAACAGATGTTTGAAAGTCACGTCTACTATAGAATTAGGATGCTAATTCAGCCTGATTGGCAGCTCTCCTTTAGGAATGCCAATCGCAATCACAACAAAATTGCGGATGCCTTGGCTAAACTCGATTTGTCCTGTCCATTTGGGAATCATGTTTTGCGTGTGCCTCTTTCAGATATTAAGGAGAGCTTAGAAGTTGATACGCAATCCATATCTCGTCTCCATAGGGATTTTTGTAGCCTCCCAAGTATATATAAAAAAAATAAAAAATAAAAAAATCAGATGTTTGAAAGAACATGTGAGCGTGAAAATGCGAGGGAAATTTACGAAATCAAGTGCGATGGGTAATTTAATGTTGTTTTTGGAATGGGACCTCATACTGTTACTAGTACTAAATACTCCATCGTACTAGTCAGGTGCAACACCTGCATCCACATGTAAATATGTGGGAGTATTCAATAAAGCACCTCTTCAAGTACTGATAAGGACGTGATGATTTTTTTTTCTCTTTTTTAATTAATCTTCGTCTCTCAACTAGTGTCAATCTGTTGCTTGGTTTGCGAGACAACAATTTGAGGGAAAAAAATGCCCATACTGCTAGATAAGATGAAAACTTAAAACAGCCCATACTTGGAAAAGAATGTAAAGTTCCAACAATGATTACAAATTAAACCAAGGAAAAAAACAATAGTACTGAAGATCACTTGAATGAAGTGGAACGATTACAAAAATATGTCATAGCTAGTAAATGCGGGTCAAATGTTATCCCGAAACGATCAATAAAAATAATTGATTGAGAAACATAGTATTGGCCTATTGGCTGGCTACTAATTATGATGCCTACCTAATCTTTATGGGACCATATATATGTAGCAGATTATCTTGAACCTTGAACGTGCCTTCTTTATTATTGAGAGAGGGCTTTAACCTGGATGATATGTGTTCCTTCCTTGAGCTGCCTCCTTAGTTGGCAATTGAACCAAATGAATCTGATTTGACCCCAAAATATTATATATTAAGAGAATAAGCTTTTAGGACACGTGTTACATAATGAGATGTCCAATAAAACCTTCATAAAAATTAGACTCAATTAGATATAGTAAATTTTTATTGTAACAACTTAATTTTACTTATTTATGCATACACCTGATTATCTAACCAGGTAAAAAAAATAAAATAGCCCTTTCACTTAATTACATATATGTCTCTACCGTTAATGCAAATAAACATGGATGAAATTTCAATTTCACAATTGTCCTATCCTTAACTATTTCAGGTATGTATTGATTATCCCATTTCAAATACCATTTAAAAAAAATCTTATGACCCATAATTCCGTCCAGATTCAAACTACAATTAATGTACCAAAATTTCAAAATCAGTTTCACATCTTTACTAAATCATAAAATGGAAATCAAAATAATTAATTATTATTGGAAGCAAAGATTATGCGTGATTCGTGCGGCTTATGTGATTCAGGAATTTATGAAACGTAGACGACGCCCAAGTCCCAGACAATCTTTCCAAAAATTATTCCATCATTACTATTTTTTGGATAATTATTAAATTTTTCCATTCTTACTGAATTAAAAATTTGGACATTCTTACTATATGAAAAATTGAAATCAAATTAAATCTTTATTAATATAATCTAAGCGCGCCAATTATGGCACACAAATTTCGCGGTTTGACCACATAAATATTCCTCCCTAATCCAAAAAAAAAAAATGGTGCATTATCCAAATAAAAAAAATTACGGAACTTTCATTGCCTATAAATATTTAGCATATGATTTGAATCAAAATACACACCAAAATACACTCACATCCGTATTGGTTTTGTATATCATGTCTTTCAAATTTAATTTTCTCAACGAGCTCGATAATAGCCGAGGAGTTGGATGGAATGTCTGAGTTCGTCTTCTACGCGTACGGACAAAGATGGATTCAATGATGATAATGAAATCTCCATGATTGAGAGCGTCTTAATCGATGAAAAGGTAAATTGCACCTATTATTAAAAAATATTATATATATATATATATTCATCTATACACACCTATCATTGTGATTATTTGATTACTAAAATTTATTTTCTTTGTTGTATTATTATTTCACAGGGCAATAGGACCGTTGCTGAAATTAAAAAAGACCTAATATACAAGTTTCAAGATCCCATGAAGGAGGGAGAGTACAAACAAATAAGCCATTTTGATACGGCTACTGACAAAGAGCTCCAAAGATATAGTGATAACAAATAGAAAATAATATTCAAATGCAGTACCAAGATTGCGACAATTCCCGAGTTTGTGGATCGTCCTTATATTGGTGAATATGATTTTCAGTTCCCGAAATTTGCTGATATCATAAACAAAAGGGTGAATGAATATTTACTGATAGGTACATTGTCTTTTCTATATTATATATGACTCCACAAGTATTACTAAATATTTAGACAAATTAATCCAATAATTCTCTTTTTTCCAGATGTCATAGGTGAAATAGTGGATGTAGGCAAAAGGCAAAAAATTCATCTAAATATTATTAAAAAAAATTCCCGCTCAAATATATTGAAATATTTTCACATCCCGAGCAACGCACGGGTCCACCACTAGTTGGTGTTAAAATTAACGAACCCTCAAGTCATACTCTCCCATCCCAAAATTATTGTCTAATTTGTCAAAAAAATTTTGTCCCAAAATTATTATCCGACTTGATTTTTAATAAATTAAGTTACAAATATACCCTTTAAGAAAACAAAATTAACTAAAACCTTTTTCCTCATTTGCTGCCCACACCGTAGAAGCAAAATGATGGTTCTCCGACTCCATTATTTCCTACGCACATTAAAGAAGCAAATAACACACAGAGGCAGCAAACGATGGCTCTCTGACGGCTCCAAGCCACGATGAAGATGTGGGGGTGGTTCTCGGAAAGTAATATGAAAAAGAAAGTCCGAGAAATTTCGACGACTCCAACCGACGGCGATAAATTCGATAAACATTCCCGACAAAATGGAAAACTCATCTCAATTAGAGGAGCATCCACTTGAAAATCCAAGTAAGAATTTTCTCCAAATTCGAATCAATTCATCCGAAATTGGGTTTGGTTAGCACAATTGATGGTCTCCAGTTAAAGATTGTTCGATTCAAAAACTTTCGATGGAAAGAATTGCCTTAATAAATACCAAAATTGAAACTTAGAAGAAAAAGATACTCCAAATTTGAAGTTCTTCATATTAGTTTGATTATGACTAGGTACTGACCGAAGAATGATTGGAAGTATTGTTCTTGCGTTTAAAATCGGGTTTTGGATCTGGGGTAAAGTGAAAAAAAAAAAAAAAAGTTCTTTTCTGACCGGTAAAAACGTTATATATGTAGAGTTATAT